ACTTAACTTATACAAGCCAAATTGTCCCTTTTTAAAAAGATGCATACGTTTGATGTCGTAACCGTTAATAATAAAAAATTAACAAAATGTTAATATGTTGTATATATATTTATTCAAATGTATTATTGTCGAATCATTTTTAATTTGTTTTTACTTAAATTACTAGTTTTACTAACTATGCTATCTGTAAGCCATTTACAATTTGTTCTTATTAAAATTAATACAAACTGATTAAGCAGAAATTTTCGATGGTCAAAGCAAGGGTGAGTTGGGGAAAACCATTCATTATGTGAGATTGACTTAGCTGTAGCGTGCATGCAGTGCAAAACTATTTTTTCTTTAACTTTCGCTATAAAGGGATTTTTGTCGAAAATTTTCTTGAATATTTCAACGTTTTATTAGCTCATAAAAATGGTCAGAAGGGGCTTTCAACTTAAGATATTGGTTAATATAATGGAAGTTTTTATTGAGTATCAAATACTCTGATGAACATTGCATTTCATCTGCTGGTTTTAAAAGATTCGCACAAGTTTGGCAATCAGTTTTTTGTAGTAATTTGTAGAGAAGATATCCAGCAAAATATCGTAATGCATTTTCATTAAAAACATTTTGAATATTTGCAATGGTTGCATCTAATGACAATTCAACTTCAACCTCTGGATCTAAGGGTTCTTGTTCTACAGATGAATTCGTGGCAAACTGCTCATCAAATACTGATAGGTTAGATCCGCTATCCTTTATTTTATTAGATAACATGAGATCTTCATCTGGAATACAATTTCCAGAAATAGAAGTAGATGTCAAAATTTTCATAGAAAGCATTTTAGATATAATAGTAATAAATTCAACAAGTAAGAAGACTCTAGTCGAGACTGCTCGACTAGGAGATACCCTGAACCCTCCAATCTGATATTCTAATCACTGTGCACTTCTTTTCGGCACACATACATACACACGCACGTATTAGAACTCGGTCTGGTAACTGCGCAGTAAGCAGCGACTGCGCTTAGGCTGCGCTGCAATGTAGGCAACATTATAAGAATTTAAATTCCAAAGCACAAGTATCTAGTATTTGAAATACGCCTTTTACAAAGGTTAGGTGAGGGGGTAGAAATAGGAGTGCGGGGTAAATTTGAACAAAAATCTAAATTGTATAAAATATATATAAGTCTATATTTAAAATTTGGAAGCTCTAGCTCTAAAGGTGTAGGAGATATAATTAAAAAACTAGCTTTCGATAAGGTTTTTGATCGATAATAAAATATCGAGAGTAATTATCGATATATTATTACGCGTGATGACGGACGGACGGACGGACGGACAGACAGACGGACAAGGCTAAATCGACTCTGCTCGTCGCCCTGATCAAGATTATATATACTTTATGGGGTCTGCCACGCCTCCTTCTGCCTGTTACATACATTTCAACAAAACCATTATACCCTGATTTCCCATTAAAAATGGGTTCAGGAAACATTGAGCAAGGGAAACATTGAGCATAGAGGGATCTTTTGTTCAAAATTTGACCATCTCGGTCGAGCGCATGAAGCGAAATGATTGTGCGTTCGTATTTTTTCGTAGCTTGAACCTAAAAGTAAGGAGCCGAGTGAATCCAAAGCTGTCTGGGGTGTTAAAGCCTCAGAAAAAGCGTGCAAAAAGCTTTCCACTAGTTGTCTACTCTATGTGTTCTCTGGTTAGTGTTAAAACCTTTATGTTTTATTAAAATTTGACGAAGTCACAGCGTGTTTCGTGATAGTTTATCAGGGGTAGGATGACTTTAGTTGCACAGTGTATGTAAATGTACGTACATTGTACCAAATGTCTAGCCTATCTGTGCTTTGGTTAGTAAACTAACCACAAAACACATAGACCGGAACGTAGTGTGGGATTTTCAATATGTACAGGTAGCAAGAGTTACGCACACAGGCCACAAAAGCTCCTACATGTAGCGAAGGACTGAAATTTTGTGAGTGCACGCCCGTCACGAAATCAGATTCTTTATGCACCTCAACGCTTTCATCCTTTTCCTAGAAATAATCATGATAGCGCTAACATGATGGTGATCTTCACTCAAAAGAAACGAGCTGGGATCCTCGCCAACAAATTTCAATTTTTGTGAGCTTCTATAATCTGAGAGCCCATAGAAAGAGACCATACAGAGAGGGAGAGAGATATTAAGGGAAACACAGCGCATAACCGTACTTCATATGGGAATGTGCTCATTTCTTGTCAGCGCTCGCAGCGTTGTTAAACAAAATTTTAGTAAATGTCTAGTTGATTGGTTAGTGATTCAGGGTAGAATCTGGTCGAGCACTCTCGACTCGTGTTTGCCAACTTATTTTTATACCCTGAACCCATTTTCAATGGGAGTATTGCTGTGTTGTATGGTCTCGCAGCATAAACTGTATCAGGATCGTATCGAATCGGTCCAAAAACAGTTTCTTCTCTTTGCCTTAAGAGACTTTAGATGGGACAGTAATTTACGATTACCGTCTTATCATAGTAGGCTCCAGCTTGTTGATCTTTCATCGCTAACCAATCGCAGAACAATTTTGGGAATTGTTTTTCTGCATAAATTGATTAGTGGTGATATTGATTCGTCCTCTTTGTGGGGTCGTCTAAATTTTTCGGCTCCCGAGCAACTAGACATCGTCCGATTGCTTCATTTACCTGTGTGCACTAGGGATTATTCTTTGCACAGTGCGTTTCATATTCTTTGCGTTAATTTTAATAAATATTATGACGTTTTTTTCTTAGAGCTCTCTCTTCCTAAAATAAAAATTTTACTTTTAGCTTATCTTAGGGAAATCACTCACAATGCCCAGGCATAAGCATTGGTATACATTTTCGTTGCCAATGTTGTGTAGTGATTTCTCAATTCTATCCTATATTCTATTTTGGCTCTTCCCTTAGTCTTTTCTTTTCAATATTTCTTATTCTTTGTATTAACTTTTCTTGCAACTTCTTTTAATACTTTCCTTTTTCTTTTGCTATACTAAATCTTTTTATACCCTGAACCCATTGAAAATGGGAAATCAGGGTATAATGGTTTTGTTAAAAGTATGTAACAGGCAGAAGGAGGCGTGGCAGACCCCACAAAGTATATATATTCTTGATCAGGGCGACAAGCTGAGTCGATTTGGCCCTGTCCGTCTGTCTTTCTGTCCGTCTGTCCGTCTGTCCGTATGTTTGAACGCGTCGATTTCCGAAGATATAAGAGCTAGAGACTTGAATTTTTTTTTTTAAATGACCGTATATACAGCGCGGACGTCGAGTTTGCTTTTATAATTCGATAAATCATCCCGTTATGTTTTTATCGAGTAAAAACATTCAAGTTCAAATCAGGTGCCACTATAGTTAATTGTGAATGATTTTTCTTTTTTTTAATTTCTCAAATATTCAATATAATATGTAGATCATATGCTGAAAGTTTCATTAAATTCCGTTCAGTCAAAAATTAATAAAAATATAATCAAATATTTGGCCAATTAACAAACGCACGTGCAGCAGCTACAACAGCATCATATGCGTGTGCACACATACATTCAAACTTCTTCTAGAAACATTCGTTGAATCACATCAGCTGTTAGTTTCGTTTAGTTTTGGTAGATGGCGCAGCAGCAGTGAATCTATTTGAGTTTTGCCAGCGCCACTAGCAGGAGTGAGGTGGCCTAGTGTGTTAGCTGCATGACGCTCGATCGAGAAGTCGCGGTTCGAATCCCGATCGATGCAACTGATGTTAATTTTTTTTAATTGTTTCAAAATATTTTTATATTTTCATAAATGAGTTTTCTATGTAATTTATATTTTTAAATACACCGAAATTGAAATTTTATGTGCGTTTTTAATAGTTTGGTTATTCTAGCAGATTCTTAGAATCACATCAGCAGTTAGTTTCGTTTAGTTTTGGTAGATGGCGCTGCAGCAGTGAATCTATTTGAGTTTTGCCAGCACCACTAGCATGAGTGAGGTGGCCTAGTGTGTTAGCTGCATGACGCTCGATCGAGAAGTCGTGGTTCGAATCCCGATCGATGCAACTGATGTTAACTTTTTTAATTGTTTCAAAATATTATTTGGTATTTTATTTATATTTTTAAATACATCGAAATTGAAATTTCAGCCATACTAAATGGGCATTTTTATTTGTTGGGTTCAGGGTAGTATCTAGTCGAGCACTCTCGACTAGAGTTTTCTTACTTGTTTTAAGTATAATTTTAATTATTATGTTAGATATAGTTAATAAATCTACATTTAATTTTTTTTTTTAAGTTTTCTTACTAACACATTCTTTTTATAGCTTCATTAGTATCACTGACCATATTAGGCTGTGAGACGTGGGCATAGCTGGCCAGACTGGCAAATGAAATACCCCCATCGGGTCGGTGTTACTATTGAAATATCCTGTACTTTGATTAGGCTTTTTTTAATTTAAATTGACTCTCGTTTTTGTCAATAGCTTTATGAAATAAATAAATAAATAAATAAATAATGGTTTTGTTGAAATGTATGTAACAGGCAGAAGGAGGCGTGGCAGACCCCACAAAGTATATAAGTTAACGACAGACCCTACAAAAGGGCATTGCACCGGCCCAATTATATCACGGCTCAAGTGCATGCACTTTCGACACGTGCGCTTTGTCAGCTGAATACAACAGCAACGCAACCGCAACCGTGGGAGCCTATCGACAGCAATATTAATAAGATCAATGCACTTGGCCAAAACACATTCTGGTCAACGTGCGCATTTCTGCCACGAGCGCCGAGTCAGCGCACCGATCAGCAACCACCGTGAGAGCCATCGTGTCACAAGACACCTATTCAGCAGCAACAGCAGTGACCACGGCGGCAGCGACGCCAATAGCAGCAGCGGCAGCTTTCATATAAATATTACTTGTATAATTATTCTTAAGTTAGTTCTAATCCAGCTCCGAAAGTAAATAAATGTTTTTTTAATACAAAAACCGTTTTCGAATATTTAATTGGCGCCCGAGCAGGGACCCGCGTTCGTTACCACAGAAAAGTTTACGCGTCGAAAAACATAGTACCAACTATTGTTCGCGAGAGCACCTATAACGAAATATAGCTGCTAGTGAACGCGACGAAAATCTTTAGTGCCTAATCCGCAGCCACATCGTGAACGAGTGACTCTAACTACGTAAACGTGGTACGTTCGTCGGTCAAAAAAACCATTGTTGCCACCCTATAAGTGTCCGTCCGTAGGGTACCGCGTAATCGGAGTGCGTCGCAGGATCTTCAGTAACGGATAAACCACTAGCACTGGAATCTGAGGGAAGAGAGAAATCCGGACCACCATCGCGGGAGTCAACAATGCTGAAAATTATCTTGTAAGCATAGTAAATAAGATTTGAAAACAAAAATAAAGAAACTAGAAAAGAAAAGAATTAAAACAAATCAAGAAATATTAGTAATTAAGAAAAGAAAAACAAGAATTAAACAACAAATATTAACACCTAGTAAGAAGAAATAACAAGAAATATTAAACATTAACACTTAATAATTAAGAAAAACTCTGAAATTGTACTACTGAGCGATAATTGCGTTGCTCGGTATAGCGTATAGCCCGTCAAGCTATACAATAATAGCCAGGAAGATCACTGCGTTGATCGCTTAGGAATTTACCATTTACTAACACAAAATCAAAATCCTGAGAACATTTTCTGAAAACAAACCACCATCATTTTCCGCTTCGATAAAAATTCTTTAAATCTGTCCGTGACCATTGACGAACTAACGACCGCATTCTCTAAGATAAACATGCCACCACCAGAAAATACACTCCCGTCCACCAGCACAGGTGCCACAAGGCAAACCTTTCTGACTGAACCAATTGAGAATACGATAGAGAGATACCTTAGGAAGATATTGTCCGAGAAAGGCGATGAGTTACTTAAAACAGGTACAACCGTTTCAGTTGAGCAAGATCAGACGATTCTACCAGAACATATGGGACGAATCAATGAGTTAGACAAGTTGCCAGACGTTGTAAGGGTTTTAAAAGACTTTTCCGGGAATAGAGCAGAATTCACTTCATGGCGCAAAAGCGTAGACAGGATATTCGAGGCATACTCTACCGTACAGGGAACACCAAAGCACTATGGTATCTTAATGGTAGTAAGAAGCAAAGTAGTTGGCGAAGCCGATGCTGTATTAGAAGCATATAACACACCACTAAATTGGAAGGCCATATCTCAATGTCTCACTGATCATTTTGCAGACCGTAGAGATCTTAAGACATTAGAGTACCAACTCTATACTCTTAAGCAAAATGGACGATCAATAGACGAATTTTATCAAGCCGTTTATTATCATCTGTCTTTAATCTTGAATCAGATAAACAACCATGATTCATCTGCAGAAACAGTAAGGGCCATTATCGAGATATATAGAGACAAAGCATTTAGATACATTTATCAGAGGTCTCAACGGAGACTTATCAAGATTGTTAGCCATCAAAGAACCAACCGACCTTAAACATGCCCTTCACTTGTGCCGACTGATTGAGAACCAGTCGATTAGAGATTCTGTTAGTCCCATTAGAGCCCCTTCGCTTCCTCCGAAGAACAATTATCAAAACAAAACTACTCAATCCCCGTTTCGATACAACAATCCACACGTCTTAAATCAAACCAACTTCAATCCGAACCTGTACTATCCACCAAAGCCTAAGTTTAACCCCCAGAATTCAGTTTTTCCACCAAGACCCATATACCAACAACAACAACAACAATTCTTTAACGCACCGCCAAGACCAATAGCCCCAAAGCCACAACCGGCTCCACAACCAATGGAAGTCGACTCTTCTATCAGAACTAGGAACGTGAATTATATGAATAGGCCAAATAATAGTCAATTTGCTGGGAAAAGACCCTTATCTTCTAGGGCAGAAAACCCATTCAAGCATCAGAGACAATTTCATATCAATACTGGGGAAACCCAAGTAGATGATGAGGCTAACGCTTACGCAGATGCATATGCGAATGCATACGCCGCCGAAGCTTATGCCGAGGCATACGAGCAATGTATGAGTGAACAGGCTTACTATGCTGCTACAGAGGAGCAAGGTATCGTCGAAGCACCATACGAGAACGAAGCAACTACAGACAACCAGACTCAGGTAGAAATTGCTGATGTCAATTTTTTAGCTTAAATCGTTCCTCGTTACCTTACTTCCAATGCAAAACGAGGGACGGACAGGTATTAAACTTCCTCATTGATACTGGTTCCAACCAGAATTACATACAGTCTTCCCTAGTAAACAACGCAAAAGAAAACAAAGAAGTTTTTTTCGCTAATTCTATAGGTGGAAAAATAGCCATAACCCATCATATCTTTTTGAATCTATTTAACCTAAAAACCCCAATCAGATTTTTCGTATTGCCCACGCTAAAAACTTTTCATGGCATTCTAGGCAACGATACAATGAAACAACTCAATGTTGTTATCGATGTCAGGAATGATATCCTTATAGTAAATGGCAGTAATAAATTCCGTATTAAGCAATTACCCGCACAAGCAGTTAACAATATAAAGGTCCGAACAAGTCATATGTCCGATAAACAGAAAAAGATAATAGATCGACTTATTTATGAAACTAAACCGTTATTTGCAGACCCAGAGCAAAAATTAACTTACACGACTAAAGTAGTAGGAGAGATCCGAACCAATACCGACACCCCAGTTTACAGCAGGCATTACCCATATCCTATTGCTCTAAAGCAAGAAGTCGAAAAGCAGATATCAGAAATGCTTGACGACGGAGTCATTAGACCCTCTAGATCACCGTATAACGCTCCAGTATGGATCGTACCAAAGAAATCTGATGCCTCAGGAAAAATGAAATACCGACTAGTAATCGATTATCGCAAGTTAAATTTGGTCACAATCTCCGACTGATACCCTATGCCAGAAATAGGGGACATCATAGCCCACTTAGGGGACAATAAATTCTTCACGGTCCTCGACCTCAAAAGTGGTTTCCACCAAATTCCTTTGAAGGAGACAGACATAGAAAAGACAGCATTTTCTGTCAACGGAGGGAAGTACGAATTTACAAGACTACCTTTTGGTCTCAAGAATTCCCCTTCAATATTCCAAAGAGCCTTAGATGATATCCTAAGGGATCATGTTGGAAAAATATGCTATGTCTACATTGATGACATCATTGTTTTCAGCAAAACTGAAAACGAGCATGCTCATCACCTAAAACAAGTCTTCACGACTTTACTTAACGCTAATATGAAAGTCCAAATGGACAAATGTGAATTTTTCAAAAAGGAAGTGAATTTCCTAGGATTCACTATTTCAGACAGTGGCGTTAAGACAAATCCAGAAAAGGTTGAAGCGATTTCTAGATTCCCCATACCCAAAAATCTTAGAGAACTACGATCGTTCATAGGCCTCTCCGGTTATTACCGCAGATTCATAAAAGATTATGCAAAATTAGCTAAGCCTCTTACCACTCATCTCAGAGGTGAAGATGGTCGTATATCAGCAAAAGCATCAGATAAAGTACAGATAAAGTTAGATAACAAGGCAATAGAAGCATTTAACAAAATAAAACAAACTCTTTGTTCTAATGACGTAATCCTAAATTATCCAAACTTCTCTAAAGAATTCCATCTAACAACCGATGCTTCAAACTACGCAATCGGTGCAGTCCTTGAACAGGAAGGTAGACCCATTACTTTTATATCACGAACATCATCAAAAACAGAGGAGAACTATGCAACTAATGAAAAGGAAATGCTAGCCATAGTTTGGGCATTGCAAAACGAATTTACTTGTATGGAACTGCCAAAGTTATTATATTCACAGACCACCAACCAATAACCTTTGCTCTGAGTAATAAAAATCACAACGGAAAATTGAAACGTTGGAAGAGTTACTTAGAAGAGTTCAACTACGAGTTAAAGTACAAGCCAGGAACCACTAACATAGTAGCAGACGCTTTATCAAGAAACCCAATAAACGAAATCAATAGTACAGAAACCACAGTTATGAGTGATGAAAGTTCGTCACACAATCTCATCCCTACAATAGAAACACCTATTAACGTTTTCAAGAATCAGTTATTCATAATAATCGGCGAAAAGCATGATTATAAATTCGAAATTCCCTTTCCTACATACCATAGGCATACAGTAACACAACCCCACTTTACCGAAGACGAATTAATCGATATTTTCAAGAAACGACTTGACCCAAGACTTATTAACGGTTTATTTACTCCAGAACATGTTATGGGCAAAATACAGGAATTCTATCCACTTCACTTTTCAAATTATAAAATACGATATACCCAAAGAAAGGTAGAAGACATTACAAGCGTCGATGAACAGAATAAAATTATAACGCAAGAACATAGACGAGCACACAGAAATGCATCAGAAAATAAAGCCCAAATTCTAGAAAAATTTTTCTTCCCACAACTACACAAAAAAGTTAAGGAAATTACAAAAGCATGCTTAACATGCAGAGAGTCAAAATATGATAGACACCCTCCACATCCCGCAATTCAAGCAACACCAATTCCCAAATTTCCAGGTGAAATCATTCATATAGATATTTATATAACAGAAAATAAAACTATTTTAACTAGCATTGATAAATTCTCAAAATACGTTCAAGTCAAGATTCTAAACTCAAGAGCAGCAGAAGACATAAAAATCCCGTTAAGAGAAATACTAATTTCATTCGGTATGCCCAAAACTGTAGTAATCGATAACGAACGAGCTTTAAATTCAGCCTTCATAAAGTTTTTGTTGCAAGACCAGCTAGGTATCGAAGTTTATACAACCCCTCCATATAACTCAACAAGTAACGGACAAATAGAGAGATTCCACTCCACTCTTTCAGAAATAATGACTTGCCTAAGAAAAGACAATAAAGATATGAGTTTCACAGATACACTCTTTAAAGCAGTACAAGAATATAACGCCTCCTACCATTCAGTTACTAAAAAAAAACCAATAGAGATATTTTTCGGCACAACAGTTCAGGATAACCCAGAAAAAACAGAAGAGAATAGGAAGATAATATCCAACAAGCTACTAGATAAACAAAAATATGATTTAAATTACCACAATAAAGAGATACAGGAAATTAAAACTTACGAACCAGGGGAGATAGTCTATGTAAAAATAAACAAGCGCCTAGGTTATACAAGAAAGAAACTGTAGCAGAAAACAGGAATTCAACCATTAGAACAGCTTCAGGGAAAATTATCCACAAAAATAACATTCGAACGTAATTTACAGGATATTCGCACCGCTATGTCTGGGTATAACCACAATCCTCGACTACTCACACTCTCAGTTGATTCCGATAAAGACAGGAACTTCAGCAATGCAGAACGGAACTTTCAAAATTATTCACGTATTTGACATTTCAGAATATGAAAAAATCTCCGGAACTTTCGAAGAAACCCTTAACAATATAAGCAGCATGGAAATGGCTGGCCGGTACACCGGACCATAGTGACCACGAGGTTTTAATTACAAAAATTAATGAGCAATTAGAAAATAATAATAAACAAGTAGTTATCAATAGAGTATTGCAAGATAGAATCAATGAAATAACACAAACCTCAAATAACATAATGAAAATTGTAAAAGATCATTCTAATATTCAAGAGGAAAAAATCACGTTTTTTAAATACAAACTCCAAATCTTTAAAGACGATTTAACTAATTTAATTCATGCCATAGACTGGGCAAAAACAAATACAATAAACTCAATAATATTGTCAGAATCCGAAGTCAAAATAATAGAGCAGATACTAGAAAGAGAAAAAATCATGTTCTTAAATGCAGAAGAATTGTTAGAATTTAGCCAAATAAAAATCGCAAGTAATGGAAAAAATATACTCTATATAATCAACATACCTTTAATCTCAAATGAAGTTTGTACAACCATGTTAATTAAGCCAATTAAAAAAAAAAATTATATCAATGAAATAAAATTCGAAAATATTGTAAAATGCGAAAATTCAATCTATGCTATAAGAGACTCATGTGAGTCGCATAATGAAAAAACAATTTGTAATAAAAATAAGTTAGTCGACTTAAGAAATGATACTTGTACTCTGTTACTATTAAAAAGCCAACCTCCAAACTGCCGTGCTATCAACAATCAACACGTACCCAACCACGAACAGCTGTTTGTCGGAACAATATTGCTCAACGATTTCAATGGATCAATCAAGATCGACGAAGAGGAAATAGAACTCCATGGTACCTTCCTGGTACAATTCGAAAACTCCACGATACGCATCGAAGATGACATATACGAATCAAAAGTAATGTCCTTCGCAGAAGCCACCCCACCGCTATTTCAAATCATGGCGAAAACAAACAAGATCGACGAAGTCCTTTCACTGCAAATGCTCAAGGAAATAAATCTAAACAACACAAGAAAATTAGAAACCCTAAAGAGCAGCAACGATATAAGAGCAACAATCAATATAACTCTCTCTGGAACTCTACTGATAATTATGGCCATAGTTGGATATTTGCTAAAACGAAAGACCCCAGCCACCACAGGCCAAGTCACAACACCCGAAGCAGAAAAGAGAGAAAATGCTCAAGTTTTCTATATTGCGACCGAGGACGTCCGCATCCAAGGGGGGAAGAGTTAACGACAGACCCTACAAAAGGGCATTGCACCGGCCCAATTATATCACGGCTCCAGTGCATGCACTTTCGACACGTGCGCTTTGTCAGCTGAATACAACAGCAACACAACCGCAACCGTGGGAGCCTATCGTCAGCAATATTAATAAGATCAATGCACTTGGCCAAAACACATTCTGGTCAACGTGCGCATTTCCGCCACGAGCGCCGAGTCAGCGCACCGATCAGCAACCACCGTGAGAGTTATCGTGTCACAAGACACCTATTCAGCAGCAACAGCAGTGACCACGGCGGCAGCGACGCCAATAGCAGCAGCGGCAGCTTTCATATAAATATTACTTGTATAATTATTCTTAAGTTAGTTCTAATCCAGCTCCGAAAGTAAATAAATGTTTTTTTAATACAAAAACCGCTTTCGAATATTTAATTTATATATTCCTGATCAGGGCGACGAGCTCAGTTGATTTGGCCCTGTCCGTCTGTTCGTCCGTCCGTCTGTCCGTATGTATGAACGCGTCGATTTCAGAAGATATAAGAGCTAGAGACTTCAAATTTTTTTAATGTCCGTAATTACAGCGCGCATATCAAGTTTATCATCCCGATCTTTTTTTATCGATAAAAAACCTTATCGAAAACCAGATATAAAATTATATCTCCTACATCTTTATTGCTAGAGTCTCAAAATTTTTTTGCAATTTATGCAATTTCGGTTTTTGTTAAAATTTACCCCCACCCCCATATCCACCCCCTCACCACCATGTTTGTAAAAAGCGTATTTCAAATGCTAGAGACTTGTGCTTTAGCAAATACATGCATATTTATTTATTTATTAATTTATTTATTTCTTAAAGCTATTGACAAAAACTAGAGTCAATTTTAATTTAAAAAAGCCTATACAAAGTACAGGATATAATTTCAATAGTAACACCAACCCGATGGGGGTATTTTATTTGCCAGTCCGGCCGGCTATGCCCACGTCTCACAGCCAAATATGGTCAGTGATACTATTGAAGCTATGAAAAGAATGTATTAGTAAGAAAACTTAAAAAAAAAAAAAAATATTAAAATGTAGGTTATTAACTATATCTAACATAATTAAAATAATTCTTAAAATAATACAAAAAAAAAAAAATAATAATAATAATAATAAAAAAAAAAAATAAATAAATAATAAAAGGAGTTAAAAGAAACAATAATGAAAAAAAAAAAAAAAAAAAAGAATAAAATAAGAAGAGATAAAGTATAGAAAAAGAAAAAGGACGGTTATAAAAGAAGTTGCAAGAAAAGTTAATAAAAAGAATAAGAAATAATAAAAAGAAAAGAGTAAGGGAAGAGCCAAAAATAGAGTATAAGAATAGAATTGAGAAATCACTAACACAACATTAGCAGCAAAAACGTATGCCAATGCTTATGCCTGGGCATTGTGAGTGATTTCCCTAAGATAAGCTGATAGTAAACTTTTTATTTTAGGAGGAGAGAGCTCTAAGGAAAAAACGTGATAATATTTATTAAAATTAACACAAAGAACATGAAACGCACTGTGTAAAGAATAATCCCTAGTGCACACAGGTAAATGAAGCGGACGATAGTGTCTAGTTGCTCGGGACGGAACCGAAAAATTTAGACGACCCAACAAAGAGGACGAATCAATATCACCACTAATCAATTTATGCAGAAAAACAATTCCTAAAATTGTTCTGCGATTGGTTAGCGATGGAAGATCAATTAGCTGGAGCCTACTATGATAAGACGGTAATCGTAAATTACTGTCCCATCTAAGGTCTCTTAAGGCAAAGAGGAGAAACTGTTTTTGGACCGATTCGATACGATCCTGATACAGTTTATGTTGCGGAGACCATACGACAGAGCAATACTCTAGGATAGGACGCACAAGCGAAGTGAATAAGCGCTTGGTAGTAAAAGGACCTTTAAATTCCTTAGACCAACGTTTAATAAAGCCAAGCACACTTTTGGCTTAATTAATGATGGTAGAAATATGAAGATTAAAGTTAAGTTTACAGTCAAAAAGGTTTAATTTTATAATCAACATTTAGAGGAACGGTACGACTTAAGGTCATTGTCATACACTTTGAGTCCAGCTGGTTTGCCACACACCAAAGTTGAAATGCATTTAGGTCATCTTGAAGGTGATGATGTCCATTTGCACTGGAGTATGGGAGGCAAAGTTTTACATCATCAGCATACATAAATATAGTGGAATACGAGATACAACTAGGAAGGTCATTTATAAAAAGGGAAAAGAGCAATGGGCCCAAATGGCTACCCTGAGGTACACCAGACGAAACAAAGATAAGTTTAGACATAACTGTTCTCAGCAAGACTCTTTGGGTTCTACCCGTTAAATAGGATGAAATCCAATAGACAAGACTGGGTGAAAATCCTAAGCGTTCAAGCTTAAGAATTAGTATGTGATGATGTACTGAGTCAAATGCTTTACTGAAGTCCGTATAAATAACATCGGTTTGCATTTTTTTGGAAAAGCTGTCATTAACAAGCGAAGTGAACTCAAGTAAGTTAGAGGACGTTGATCGATTTTGAACAAAACCATGTTGAGATGGTTGAATAATCGATTTGCAAAAATGCTGCAAGGCCGATGTTATGATTTTCTCAAATAACTTCGGAATAGCAGATAATTTCGCGATGCCTCTATAATTGGAAATATCAGATCTTCCACCTTTTTATACCCTGAACCCATTTTCAATGGGAAATCAGGGTATAATGGTTTTGTTGCAATGTATGTGAGAGGAAGAAGGAGGCGAGGCCGACCCCACAAAGTATATATATTCTTGATCAGGGCGACGAGCTGCGTTGATTTGGCCCTGTTAGTCTGTCTGCCTGTCCGTCTGTCCATATGTTTGAACGCGTCGATTTCAGATGTCCGTATATATAGCGCGGAAATCGAGTTTATCACCAAAAATCGATAACTCATCCCGTTATTTTTTTATCGATAAAAAACCTTATCGAAAATCAGCTATAAAATTATATCTCCTACATCTTTAAAGCTATGCTCTTCAAATTTTAATTAATTTAAAATGGAATAGTATTATTATTAATCGTAAGTATATTGTGGTAAAAATGAATAAGAGCATTTAATGGTTTAAGAATATTTCGATCTATAATACATTGCCTATCATAATTATAGCCCACTTTTAATCCACTGAAACGAATCGGCTGAAAATTTTTCCTCAAAATCTTTAAAAATGAGTAGTTCAATATTTCAATTATGAATGGCAAAAAACTTTTTCACTTAAAATTTACGATTTAATAATGATTTCTTAAAAAGAAGTCAAAAACAAAGAAAACCAGCACCATTTGCTGTATCAAAATTATAGCCCATATTCGTATTTTTATAAAAAAAATCAGAATATGGGCTATAATGGAAAAACTAATGTTAATACTTAGTCCGGCCTCCATTTGCCTTAGTTAACTCAAAAATTCTCTTCCTCATTGAAACCACTAAATTTAATAAAAGGTCCTTTTCGAAACTTTGTCATTCACTTAGAATTTGTGTTTTAAGATATCCAACTGTCTCCAACTGGCGATTTTTGGCATACACACGTCTTGCAAGATTATCCCAGACATTTTTATCGGGTTGAGATCCGAAAAACATGCTGGCCAGTCAAGGACATCAACATGACATTCCTCCAAACACTCCTTTGTACGTCTGCTCACATGGATTCTGACATTATCCTGTTAGAAAACCATTGGTTTCTCACGTAATTCCCTTGAATATGGAATGAGACTACTATCCAGAGCCTGAATATACTCTTCACTGTTCATTCGGTTCGTTACAAACTTTAATTCCCAGGTACCAAATGAAAAAAATGGACCCCAAATCATGACTGAGCCACCTCCAAAGTCTGTCCTTGAAAAAAAACATAGGATCCTTCCTCAAATCATGCTAAAAAGTATCAAACCCATCAGGACTATCCAGGTTAAACTTCTTCCCATCAGAAAATTTGACCTGTTAGTGTAAAAATTTATAAATATACTGTAAGCCGAAAGACGATGATTCAAACGCGCGTATGTCAGATCGGTCGCAGTATGTCCTTCGGCAAAACCAAGTCGAGCAACCTTGTGGCGACTTAGCAACATGGATGCTTTGGTCAGTTTAGACCTATTTATGATTCCTGAGCTCTTAAGTACTCGCTAAACAGTCATCGCTGACATAGATTCGGCCACATGTGAGGCCAAAGCTGTACAAGCGGTTGGGTTGTTGCTGGCTTTCTTAATAATTTTGCGTTTATCGTGCACAATTAGTAACGGTTTTCATCCAGTACGTCTTCTTGATCCTTATTTTTCGTGGTTATCCAAAAATATTTTAATTACACTTTGACTTCTTTTCAAAATTCGTAAAATACTCTAAATAGACTCTCCTGACTCGAAAAGTGAGAAAATATGGCCCTTTTCATAATAATGTAATTGTTTTCCAAGCGGCATCTCTTAAAAACTATCTAAATTTACTTAATTACAATGTCTGTAAAGCCAAAAGTCTGTTCCGCACTTAATAAATTCAAATTTGCGACAGTGGGCTATAATCATAATACACAAAAATGCAAGCAAAAATGCTAGCACAGAGCAAAACATGCTCCAGTCTACAAAATTATGAGATGAAATTGATATTGTGTGACACAAAGTTCTTCGAGGATATTGTAACAATTTATTCCTATCTAATATGGAAGTTCTTGAACCAGTATCAATCAAGGCAGTGATTATTTCATTGTTTAAAGCTAACTTAATTAAGGGAAGTGATTTTTCGAGGCAATTGTATGTAAATTTGCATGGCAAGAACAGTTATTTTGCTCAGACTCAGATTCATGAGTGATGTTTTCATTTTGATTATCATTTTTAAATTGGCTACAGTTAGCTTTATCTACTGCGACATGATCAATTTCCATTTTTATACCCTGAACCCATTTTCAATGGGAAATCAGGGTATAATGGTTTTATTGAAATGTATGTAACAGGCAGAAGGAGGCGTGGCAGACCCCATAAAGTATATATATTCTTCATCAGGGCGACGAGCTGAGTTGATTTGGCCCTGTCCGTCTATCCGAATGTGCGTATGTATGAACGCGTCGATTCAAATTTTTTTTTAAATGTCCGTATTTACAGCGCGGATATCAAGTTTATCATTAACAAGTAAGAAAGCTCTAGTCGAGACTGCTCGACTACGAGATCCCCTGAACCCTTAGAGCAATAGATATTTCAATAATTTTTCGCGTCTTTCAGCTTACACAAGAAACACGCACACACACACACACACACACAGACATACATACACACACACGCATACACACACGCATACACACACGCATACACACACACATACACACACACACACGAATACACACACAAACGCATACACACACACACAC